CAATGTTATTCATTTGTCAACTTGTAACTCCCAACATAGTTTACCCATTTTTGGGTAGGTTCAGTTTTGACAGATCTGGGTGGATTCTACCCAAATTTGGGTAGTTTTGAAATAGCGTCAATAGAAGAGTATTTTTTACACATTTTTCAAGTGCGGTTTTTACTGCAAAATGTGTAAAAAATATTAATTTATAGAATTTAAATATGATGGGGACGCATTGTTTTTTATTAATATCAGAGTTTTCTTATTTTTGCAAATGATAAAATAAAGATTGCTCGGTTTCAATAGGTCTTTTTAATGCACCACCAATGTAGAGTGCGCCAAGCGAGTTCGAGAGGAAACGTCAGCCAAACCGTTTATTTACATCAGAATGAGGATTTTACAAAACGCAAATTAAAGCATTTTTCATTAAACATTTTGCCAATTTCCATCAGTAATTGCCATATTTTACGATTTTTCATAGATCTGAACTGATTTGCACCTGAACCACAGACAAACAGACATAACACATTGAATATTTCTCACTGTAAAACATCGTCGCTAAAACATATCCGCCATCTGTTGAGTATACTGTAGTGGGCACTACACTGAACAGATGGCGGTAGTGTGTAAACGTCAAACGCAAGGGAATTGACTATGCGCGCCACCGGTGGCGGTACTACCAACTACGATACTTTTAAATTGTCCGTTAAATGCTTGTTCGATGAACAACTTGCGAGAGTTATGTCTGTTTGTCTGTGCCTGAACTATTCACACTCAAGAAATCTGGAAGATCATAATCACTATAGATACTATAGATTCTATAGATAAGCGGAAGCACAAAAAGATGTTTTGGCAACCATGAAAAATTATGATCTTACTGGCATTTGTGAAAAAGTTCATGCCATCATAAAGCTCTTCGTTGTGCAGTTTTGTTTTGTTTCGTGCTCAAAAGTTCAAAATGAAGTGCAAAGCAAATCTTTGCAACAATGAATCGAGAAATAGTTTGCTTTATCCGAGTTGAGGATACCGCCCACAATGTCATCAACAGCCCGGATGAAGAAGAGGCTTCTGTTTTTAAAATTCGGGTATCAGGGATTTTCAATGTCCCCGGGAGAGATGGAAAATCCTGAGTATAGTCAGTTCTGCGGAATCCAGGAGGAGTAGAAGTCTAGATAAACATTTCAAAAGGTCCTATCTGCTTTCATCGATTCTCTTCATCGACTATCTCTTTCGTCAATAACTCAGCTGCAAAACCTTTCCCTGTTGTATTTGACGTTTTGGACGCTAGATAAGAACCTCCTTTATCAAACCAAGTGGTAGAATTAGCGCGAAATCTGTTTGCATAGCAGTGGTTATGAAAAGAGAAAGTCGATGAAGAGAATCGATCAAAGCAGATAGGACCATTTGAAATGTTCATCGAGAAGTCTCCTTTTTTCCACCACTCCTTGATTTGAGCAAGCTGATTTGGGGTTCTTGACTTGCAACTTTCCGCGAACGGATGCGTTTTCGTTTCCGTGCAGAACCTTTCGGAAAATTGAAAGAAGTTCCCTCCTCAGCCAAGTCAGTGTCAGTCTCGTCATCCGACAAAAAAAAAATGGATTTTTGTCGTTGGTCGATGGTGTGGCCGTCTTAAGCATTTCTGCAAAAGACTGCCGGAAACGTTCCTTGAGTGAGCGTAATAATTTGTCCCCGCGTTGTTTGTACACCGGGCACGACGAGAGACCATGAGAGGAGTTCCCTTACAGTATACGCATTTTGGTGCAGTGACTGTGCAGGCGCCATCCTCGTGCTTCTCCCCGCATTTGGAACAGCGAACCTTGCTGCCAAAGTGAGAGGCCGTATGTCCCAACTGCTTACAGTTTTGGCAGTTCATGACCCGGGGAACGAACAAACGCACAGGTAATCGAAGTTTTCCCAGCTCGATGCAGTGGGAAGGGCTGAACCAGAAAAGGTCACACGGAACGAGTCTGTGGGGGTAAAACCATAGAGGTAACTAGAAGGTCCCAAAATAACGTGCTCAACTTTTTGGCTCAGCTCTGGTACTCTCTTCAGTCCCAAGCTAATCGATTTACCCCTCGAAACATAGGAAAAACCAATACCCCTCATTGTATCTGTCAAACTTTTATAGCAAATCAAAACAAACATTGCGTAGTACTAGAATTTCGACTAGAATGGGGTACGTTAATCGTTTGCTTGAGACCAATAGGCTAGTCAAAAAGTAAGCCAATTTAAAATCGTTAGTTTCGTATTGATTGTTGGTAAAACTCTTTTTAACCTCGCTGACAGATACTGAGCCCAGTTTTTGGACATCCAGTATCTTCACATTAGAATGTTATGTTATGTTAAATTATGTTAAATTCATTTTCATGTATAGGTATTAATTCTTTTTTTTTCTTTAAGCATAGCGGTGTATGTGTAAGTGTGAGTGTTGATTTGTGTGTCAAGACCATGAGTGAACATCCATGCGCAGGGTTTATTTTGGCTGTCAGTGGATGATCTTCAGCCAGGGGGCTTACGGATGGCGTGCGATGAGTTTACTGTCGAACGGTAAGATGGTTGAATTCGTCTCCGGACCAAAACGATCTGGACGCTTCGAGTTGTTAGCGTCGCCGAGGGAACAGCAGCCGAACTAAAGGTACGGGGGAGGATGTCGTCAAGACCGGTACTCTACCCGATCATTCGTTTCCGAACGCAGGCACGCCAGTCGATTCCTATCGACCCCGTTTTACTGCCAGCAATCTGGCGGGCCAAGCGAAGATCCACACCGGTCCTTCGTCACGCGCACTTAAGACAAAGATGGTGGAAAAAAGACGAGCCTTTAGGCCGTATAATAAAAGCGCCCGTTGGACGCTGATGTCCAACGCAAAAAGAATATTAGAATCATATAGGGGAAACGCTCCTATAGTTGCGGTACGTTAGTAGCGTTAGGCTCCTATAGTTGTGTACGGAGTCTCCATACACAACTATAGGAACCTAACGCTTCTAACGTACCGCAACTATAGGAGCGTTTACCCTACAAAGAAATAAATTGTGAGATAATTTACCTTTCAATGGATCATTGAAGATGCTGAGGTTTTGACAGCACCGTACTGTGGCTACCACAGTATTTTACATTGGATCGTCCGTATACAGTAGCGCCAAATGCAAGCTGTGGTGGGTTCAAAACTCAGCCATCTAAAATGATCCATTTTAAACGAAAATTTACGCAAGCAGTGTGTTCGCCCTTTGTGACTGCTGCTGACACTACTGCTCACAAACCGACTTGAAACTGAAATGCCCCATACGATTATCAAAATTAGCGATAAAGCTCAAATACAATACACACTAAGATTATTTCACCGAAATCTGTGAAATTTTACCGAAATCTCAACAGCTGAACGTTCGGTAAACAGTTCGGTAATTTTTCACAGATTTTCTGTAATTTTTCACCGAATATCTGTGAAAAATTACAGGAAATCTGTGAAAAATCACCGAACTTTTTACCGAACGTTCAGCTGTTGAGATTTCGGTAAAATTTCACAGATTTCGGTAAAATAATCTAAGTGTGTAGTTATCGTTTTTGACTTTACAAATACTTAATCAATTAAATTACACGAATTACCACAGTACACTGTGATTCTAAACTATGCGGGCCATCTACGTTTAATCCTTACAATAACAATCTGTACACAATATACGCAAGAGCTTTAATCCTAAATTTAATAAGCTTTTTAGAGCGAGAGATCCAGGAAGCTGAATCTGTAATTCATTAAATTTAATTACTGCTATAGAATTTTAGCATATATATATATATATATATAAATGTAAATATTTATTAAAAATGAATATTTTTTTTAATCTAACGTAGTAATAGATCAAAATATTTACAACAAGCCGGAGAACGTTACACCATGTGTATGTGTATGTATTTGTGTGTATGTGTGTCCACGAAATAATTATTAAGACATTTTTCTTGGCAACCACTAAACCGAATTGGACGCAACAGTCGGCAAATGAAAGGTACTACATATAGGTAAATAGAGTGTTTTTGAATATTTTTGGAATCGGTCAACCGGTTCATGAATATGGCCGGAACATGCTTTGGTTTATATTGGGCATGAAGCTAATTCTGACCTTAAACTAATAAAACTCATCATGTGACACCTCGAATCACTTTAGAATAAAAAAAACACACCTGGACATGTTTCGATACCGCCCGGAGAAGTGACCAGTTTCTGACCATGATCAAAAACCATCATGTGATACCTTGAATCATATTAACATTCAACAACCAGTTCAAGGGCAGTTATTAAGAATAGAAATTGTAATAGAAAAAAATATTGTTGTAAATTTCATAACTTACGAAAATAAACAAAGCTGAGGAGCTCGCTAAACTATTTTTAACTATCCGTTACTGTTACAAATAATCACAGTGAATAATTACTTCCACTAATAGTTTTGCTTACCATTTTAACTCACCCCGCATTTCAACTTGCTCCGGTGTACCTTAATAAGGACTGCCACCATATACTGAAATCCTACGTTAATGGGAGACACATCACAAGAAATACAGTACTCCCTCAATTTTCTCTATTTTCTCCCTGTTTCTCGGCTGTCCTTTAACCCCAATTACGCTGATGTTGTGTATGTGATTAATGTCAACCATAAACTAGTTATCTACCGAAAATCAGCTCGATTGGTTGAAGGACAGCCCAAAAATAGCGGTACCACCCACCGCATAAATTAAGGGATTGTTGTGTAATTTTTATTCAATCTATTTGTTTAGTAAACTTTCCTTCAACAATTTTCATTAATCTGTAAGCACTGGTGGCAAAAACTTAGCTATCTTTGACTGACATGACTTTATGTGTTAGTGGAAACAAGTGAGTTTAAATGTATTTTACATTCCTTTGCTCATATTTACAGACGACGAACCCGCCTGTTTTGCTTGTACACATAGGAACCTCAACAGGCGGGCAACATCGTTTTCTTCATGTTACTTCTGTTGAACCACCTTCGCGATCGCGAGTGGTTCGGTTGCTTCGATCGTCTTGCAGCAGTTACTTTGCAGGGCTTGACAGTCCAACATCATCTTTAAGTCTATGGTAGACTAATTGATTGCTTATTTGAGAAAGAAGGTCATATCCATGGATAAACATTTTTGTTAACAAATTGAACAAGTTACGGAATTTAAAATACAACTATATAAAAAAGTGTCACGAAAGCTGTACAATTGCATTGTGCTAATATTTTTTATCTACGTGTACAGTTTCCGCTATAACATTTACGAAGTGATTGATGAGAAAATTTATTCACGGGTGCGTAATGTGTTTAACCGCTAATATAATACGTTTATAGTTGAAGTGCAAGTTCATTTTATTCATATAAATAATATGCATTGGGCAAGATTTGTGAGAATTTTGAATTTTGCCAGCCATCTTGATTGTCAATTACTGCGTTGAAGAAAATATAACAAACAATATACTAAGGTAAACGGACATTTTGATGTTTTATGGTAAAACTAAAGAAAAATTGAAAAACTGTAAAATTTACAAAATAGCAATTTTGTAATTGCGAGAAGTATAAAAAGTTAAACCGTACAAGTGATTTGATCGACACGGAAAAACAAGTGACGTGACAAATTCCTTCGCATCTATCACATACACTGATGTATACAAGCTGATCTAGCTGTTCTATGATCAATATACACATACGTGCAGTTGTATATGTGTACATAAAGAAAAGAGGTGACGATCGAGCAACATACCATTGATCCAGCATATTAAGCGGCACACCTGTATCTTTCTGACACAGACAATCGAAATATCAGTGGAAAGGAATTTCTCCGAACAATCATCTAAAGGTTTGTGCAACTTGTATGTTTATACATATTGTTTCTTTCATCTTCTGGTGTAGTAGATGTTTTAAATATTTAACTTGTTGTAATAAACTGGGTTCTACGTAACTATGAAAAAATAATGACTACACTACGTTGCTGATGTTACACTTGTTGCGGATACAGACAATCACTCGTAATGGTATCTTCAAGAAAACAAATTCCGTTTTTCAATCGACCTCTCATTTTTCCAAGGCTTGTATACCAAATAAAAATGAGGTCACTTCTGATTTCTATTTGCAGAGCCGGCGTGTGCTTCCTGACGTTTATATGTGATTTCCTGATAGAAACCACTGAAGCGCGTGAACTTTTTCGTGTGACAACTAGGAAGACATGTTACAGCTGGACAAATTTAAATTTTTCATAATTTGATAGAACTTCATATATGCTGCACACATCTTGGATTGACATTTAAAATTGATTTTAACGTAATGATAGTTCATGTTTGGTTAGAAAGGTATGCGTTCTAGAGCTGAGACTTACATTATCCGGATATTTCAGTTTTTTTCTATACACTGACGATCAGACAAAAGGAATATCGTTGTATCCATATTCAGTCCTAATGACGCGTCCATCTAGATAAAATTGATAAATAGCTGATTTTTAGCGGTGGTTTCAATGTTAAATCCATAGGCCAACATTTCCCCTATAACAATCATTATCATTTTAAAAACACATCCTTATTTTTTTTATATATAATCAAATTGTGTTCTAGAATTTCAAATATATTATATTTGAAATTCTAGAACACAATTTGAAATGCATAAATAAATATTATATTATTGGGCTTAAATTGATCATTTCAGAAAAATAAATAGTTTACTAAAACTCACTAAAATCATCATTTCAGGCCCGATAATACCAATACCGTGATCTTAACCAGAAATACAAAACTAAATTAGTACTCAATTTCATTTACACATTGTTTTTAAATATACATGAGCATGACTGAAGCTAAAAAAGTAGCTCTTCAATTGAGTTCTTTGTTTTTAAAAAAAATATATCGGCTTCAAACGTCATGTGAAAGAGCTTTATTTTCTGAGCACAGTGATATATTTTTTCGATTTCATAGACTTTCATCTCGATTAGCGAATCAAGATTTCAAAATAACAACTTCACTTTTTGACACTAAACTAACAAATTTTCTGCTCGGTCCCATGCAAATTCTCACCTAGGGGCGGGATGGTGATTACGAATGTTTTTTTTTACTTTATTATCGATATTTTTAGGCAGTTGGCTCATCTCATCAAAATTGCGAATATGTATTTATCTGAATACCCTTAAACAACCCTATTTTGTTCATGTGAAACTACAGTTTTTGATACATCATATTTCGAAATGTTACACTAACTTTTTGATTACCAATAATACTACATTGCTTACACATACTTACAAACAAGTGAGAATAACAATTAAATTATACGAATTCATTAAATTTACTGAACTAGGGTTACCATATGGTATCTTAAAGGAGAACATGCTCAACAAACATTGAAAGTCGGATGAGAGCTTATTCAGACAATAATATGCTTATTGTGCTAAAAATTGGGTTCTTCATTTTTTAATCAGTTCGGAAGTGACTTTTTTCACTCTTTCAAGCATAGAACTGGTTCACCAAACTCGATTAAGCTATGAATTTTAGAGCAATTCTCTACGAATTCGCAAAATTTTCGGAAACCTTCCTAATGACCGACAATGCCATTTTACATTTTCATATCGCCATTTTGAATCCAGCCTTATTTTTGAAAAGGGCCTATAGAAAAAAAAAGTTGGATAAATTTTTTGAGAGTGCATATTTTTTTTCAACTAGTCTCATCTATTACCTGCAATATCGGACAAACAGTTTTCGAGTAAAAATTTTCTGAAGATAAGCTTGATATTTTTCTATATGCACTTTTCAAATTAAGGCTGGATTCAAAATGGCGATATGAAGATGTAAAATGTCATTGTCGGTCATAAGGAATGTTTCCGCAAATTTTCAACCAAATAAAAAAAAAACAAAAATAAACCGATTTGCGTATTCGTAGGGAGTTGCTCACATGTAGCTTAAACTATAAGGACCAACTTGGCTCAAGACAGCATCACGATTTAAGTTAGTATTATGGAGATTTTCATTCTTGAATTTATATGTGCAATTTGTTCGTATATTGCAATATGCAGCTTATGTAACGTATCAACTAGATTACCACTAAAAAATAAATACTTCATATTTTCCACAGGCCAACATCCTGTCTTTAGATGAGATAACCACTCTCTAAATGCTTCAGCTGTAACACGGATTGGGCCTTTTGGGTTAATGTTTTTGCAGAGGATTTGGTTGAAATGTTCATATACAAAATGCTTATATACATTCAAAAGCGAATCTCTCAATAAAACTAACTGAATGCATGATGCAGTGTTGAGCAATGTTGTTACTCATTGTTTGAGCTACAAGTTTTTAAAATCTGAATCAAATCGAGAATATGAAAACTTTGTTATGATTTAAACAGCGTAGGGGTGATATATTTTCATGTATTTTTAACAAAATCCTAATACAAAATGTAAACTAAAAGTGCCAGCTTATCGTACAACCAAATGAGCTGAAACTTCCAGAAATACAATGGCTTTCTCACCTCAAGGAATAAATTTAGAGGATGGCCTATGTAAAATTAGAAATTTTATTTTTGTGGTTCAGTCTATGACTAGAAGTTTGGCTTAATTAATCGTGTTAGGTTATGCTGCATTTAAAAATGTCTAACATCTCGTTTCTATTAACTCCGTTATAAATAAAGTCTGTTATATTTTGAAGAAGGTCTCTTGCAAGCAACGCACATAAACCATCACAATATTCCCAGATCTTGTTCTAAGCAATCAACTTTCACAAACATATCGCTTCCTAGGCAGTTTATAGCCAACCTTGAGGGATTGTATCGTATGTGGAATGAATTCGACAATCGCTTGAAAAACCGGAAATGAAATATATTGCGCAACCAGAAAAGCTAGCGTACTTCAGAGTATGTATGTATCCGTGAACTTTTATAGTAGTGAAATATTTCTTCAGTAGAACGTTCAACCTCTTTCGTAAAAATAATAATATGTTTTGAATCAGTGAACCGGTGATCTTAATTTATTCCACACATTCCAAATATGCATTGCAAATTTTGCTTGGAAAAATCTTTGGGAAAAGATAAATAACGTAGAACTACATTAGTTAAAATAGTTAAAATTTCAATTAATCAGGTGCGCAACGCCATTGGGCCTAGGATTCCAGTTAAACAAATTTTTAATTAGCACCGTTTAATTGCAGCTTTAGCAAATTAAACTACCATAGAGTATGATTGTACTTACCACACAATAATACTGAATGTAAAAATGGAACAGGCTTTGAAAGCTCACAATTAACAACTGTGGAAATGCAATGATGTAATGCAGCCAAAGAAGTAGGGTACATTATATTCTTTTTAGTTTGAAAACTTTATTGGCCAATCAACAAATCGTTGTAATAAAACGCCTTAATTTATATTGTTTTCAATTTTTGTACAGGAATTATTATGTGAAATGTTCCCTTAGCACAGTCGAGAAAGGCTCAGCTATAAAGCAAGACCATGCTGGAAGCGGCTGAGTTCGATTCCCGGTTCGGGATGGAAAATGTATCGACTTTTTCTGGGCATATAGGCATATGGGCATGATTGTACATGCCACATACTAATGCAAAACTGATACAGGCTTAGAAAACTCTCAATGAACACTATGTTGAGAGCCGGCGTAAAGTTCCAGTGGGGACGTACCTACCTACCAGGCTAGGGCCTCTGCTGTCCGAAGAAGTCATCTCCACTCTTTTAGATACATGGCCACACGTTGCCAGCCTCATAGTATGCGAAGGGTCTGCAGATCGCCTTCTACTTGGTACAACATCCATTGAAAGTTTCAATTAAATTGCAGATATAGTTTCATAAATCAAGTTTTGCAAAAACTGTTCAAAGGTATAAGAAATTGATTTGATGTTACCTACCAAATGTCCATAACGTCCATCGAAAACAATTGATAGGGCTATCATTAACAAAGTGAATCAAAATCCAGGTTTATCTGGTGACGGCGCCGGCGTAGTTGTAAACATGCATACCTCTCTTTTTCAACGAGCCAAGCCACAGATTTATTCAATTAAGTGAGAAAACCTCTCTATGAAAGTAACAGCTCATTCGGATGTAACACGAGTGCTTTTAGTTTAAATTTTATATGGTGATTTTGGTTGAAATATATGGAAAAATAACACTCTTTCACTCTTTCGTGCCTAGATAGAGCTGGTACAGTAAACTCGATAATGCTAAGAATGTCTGCCCATGTAGTTTAAACTATGAGAAACAACTTTGCTGAAGTCGGCACCAGTGGTGTAGTGGTAAGTGTGACTACTGTCACACCCCAATGGGTCTGGGTTCAATCCCAGCCGAGGCGGTGGGATTTTTCTGAGGCATACAAATCGCTGGTCACGTCTTCTCTCGGAAGAGAAGTAAATCCGGTGGTCCCGGCCCATGTGTGTTGAATGGGTGCGATATCCTACGCACGTGTGGAAGCTGCCTTCCTGCACATTAGATTGCCGTCAATGGATGGCAATCGATGTCCGTTTGTGATTGGCACTAGATTGCGGAACAGAGACCGACGTTAAATGAAGGAATGAACTTTACTGAAAACAGTAGCACAATTCAAATTAAATGTATAGAAATATTCTTTATTTTTTTTAATAGGTGCCTTTTGTTCGTATATTGCAACACAATACAGGCAGCTTATGCAACTTATTAACTTATTAAAACTTACCAAAAACAAATAATAGATCATATTTTTCACGGGCCAACATCCACGCGGTCAACCAAATAACTCAGTGTGTGAGTCAGTCCTACTCACTTGTCAATAATAGAGAAAAACGGCACATCTGAGTTACTTTTCTTTATGACAGTGAGTAACTCTGACTCACCGCGAAATGTAAACAAAAG